TCTCTCTTTCTCTGTCTCTCTCTGTCTCTCTCTCTCTCTCTCTCCCCATCAAGCGTGCATGCACGCAACACTTGCAACACTCTTGCACAAAGGGGGTCTATGACAAATCGGCACGGCCAACTCGCCACGGGGTAAGAGTTTCACTTCTCTCATAAAAATAGCGGAACAGAATAAAGAAGGGACAAAACAAAACGGCGAAGGACAAAAATTAAAAACCATTTTTAAAAGTAGTTTAAATCGTTAAATTGAATTGCTGCAGCGAGTTGGCCGGTGCCCCAAATCGTCCTCCATACCTCGATGTCCCCTTTGCAAATTCATTGTGGTGCAAATCGCACCTCTCAAATATTGGGTATATTTGCGACACGTCACTCCCCTTCCTTCCTCCACCCTTCATGTCTTCTCACCGTGTGAGATATCGTTGTGGTTGCCACCTGTGAACCCTCCTGGCCTGTGCTTTTTCTTCTGCAGTTTTCTTGCCTGTGCTGTGTTTTGCTCGTCTGGATGGTTTTTTGTGTTGTTGTTGTTTTTCATTTATTCAGACATGTCGGTTAGCGGTTGATTTGTGACGATATCTACAAATGCAAATATATATATATCTCTCACGGCTTTTTCCTTCCCCTCTTCCCAGCCCTGTCGCCCTCCTTTTCTGCTTTTGCTCCGCCGAGCTCCCGAAATGCCCTCGGGTGGGATTTGGGTGTCCTACATTCCAAATTCGGGCTGCCCAAGATGAGAGACGAACTTGCCCGTCTCGGCTTTCCCGTGAAGAAAAGCTTCCCGTCGGTTCCCGCGGCCAGGAACGAGCCCTTAACGGTGGGCTTTCTAAATTGAACGGACGGATTAATCTTGCCGCGCGTGGACTCAACGCTTCTCTGCAAAATTTCGAAGAGAAGTCGGGAAGAGACTGCCCCCCCCCAAATCTGCATAAAAAGGTGCTCGGCCTGCAGCTGGTTTAGGGGCCAGACAGCTGTGAAGGATCTGAGCTTGCCGTGTGCCCAAGAGGGAGTGTGCGCCATGTTCCTAGTCCACATTAAGAGGCCAACAGGCTAGGAGTTGGAGAAGTCAAAGAGGGTTGTGTTTTGGATCCAAAATGCAGCCATCTCCGTGATGGAACTTTTGAAAGGTGGACACGGTCCTTCTTCCTTTGGTGGGGCAAAAGGGGGACCCCCAATTCTGGGGGAGCTCGGCTTGCAATTTCTTTTCCCCCTACCCATCTTCCCCATCACCTCCATGGGACCCTGTGTGACCCACCACCACCCCCCTGCCGGCCCCCATCTTCAATGCAGATCCCTCACCACCAAGGACGTCCTACGCAGGAGGACCTCATGAACCTTCTAAAGAACTTCCATCTCTCCCACTTTCTCTCTCTTTCTCTCCCTCTCTTTCCCCTCCTCGTTCTGGTTTGTTGTCATCGTTGTCCTTGTGGTCGTTGTCATTGGTGGTCACTCCTCTGTCTCTGTATTTGTCGGTGCGTGTGTGTGTGTGTGTGTGCGTGCGCACGCGTTTGTGTTTGTGGTCCCGTGGCGTCGTCTGGACGAGGAGCTCCACAGGGCAGTTCTTGGGAAGCCTGGTGGCTTTTGAGGCGCTTCTGAAGCCCGGATTTCTGCTCACGGGGACGGGAGGGTTGTGTGTGTGGTGGGGGTGTGTCTCCACCGTCCCACCTGCCCACTTTGTGCAGCTTTTTTTGCAATATTTCCTGACGGCAGGGAAGGTCAACGGCCATCAAGACTCCTTCTCTTCCCTTTCCTGGCTGTGAGGATGGTTTAGCTAGCTAAAGGCGGGTTGTCTTCCATTCCCCGCCAAACAAACCTAGTTTATTTAAGGAAAACCGGCCAAAGCAAGCCACCTTTGACCCTTTCCTGCACCAAGGGAGAGACTGGTAAGTCCAGTCAACTCCTGAGCAATGGTGGCTTCTCTGGCGTCTTGGTCCTCTCCTGTAGGCACCCCGGGACGGATGCCGAGATGATGTTCTTCACACACGGTCCTTGCAATTGGAGGCCTGGCTTCTGGGATCTTGGGGGGGGGGGAAGCTGGGAAAAGGAAATTAAGAAGGGGATTTCCCACCCCCTCCCTGGATCAGGGGCCAATAGACCAAGGAGATGATTGACACCAACCTTTTGGGCCCTGTAGGAGGCAGAAAGGAAGGAGGAGATTAGGGAGTGGATTTGGGAGGCAGGTGGAGATGGGGGGGGGACAAGATCTTGGGGACCCAAGATCCCAGCTAGACGGGCCTCCCTGCATGTCCTTGGCCTCCCACTCCTTCCCAGTCTCTGTAATCCAGC